TGGCCGTCCCTATCAGTTTCGTAGGGTCAGCAGGTTCCCTGTGCGGAAGGTTCATTTCTGAAGGCATGTGATCTGTGGTACATCACGGTGGCTCTCATTGTCCCTTCACCGCTAACCAGACCATATCCCTTCACCCTCTGACCTGTGTCGTTTTGCAAACCACTTTCTGGATGTGCCGATACTCTGTGACCTCGTTATGAGACAGGGTTTATTTTTTTTTCAGTCTTCTAAGGATTTTCTTGCACCCTGTTTCTGGGTTTGATTCTACCACTATTTCCCATTCTAAAATCTCTTCTAAAGGCTTTGAAGGCTTTATGTTTGATTTCTGCTCACTATTTCATGTGTACAGTTTTCTGAAGAATACTAGATGATGCTTTTGTTAAAGTTGGGGGAGTAAAAGGGGATAATGCACTCTTTGGTCTGGTTCTATATCTGCTGTAGAGAGGTCCCCGCTGGGAGTGGGAGAAGTTCTGGTTTCATTCATCTGACTTGCTGGCCAGCAGACAAGGGCTGTCATCATCAATTTTAGGGCTGAAGGAAGCTCTTTATTTGTGAGACAGAGCAGAGAAGGACTCATGACCCAGTTACCTCTGGAGCAAGCTCAACTGCCTGCTCTCCATTATGCAGAGCTCAGAGTGGATTCTCAACCTGATCTCACATTTTAAGTTTTCCTGCCTTCTAAATATGAAACGTTGTCAGTGTCTTATACTTCAGTGCCTTGTACTACACGAACCCACAAATTGTTATTTTTCTCTGACTTGGCTTGCGCGTGTGTGTTTCAGTTAAAGATGCCCATATATTCAGCTCATCACTGTGCGGGTGATGAGACATGTTTTCTCATGCGTGGACTTGAAGATGGAGGTGTTTGAGAGCCAGAAGTTTAAATTCAAGCTCTTTCTGAGCGGAATAGGTCTTGGCAGAGTGCGGCTGGTCACTGAGAGCATGGTTGGATGACTTTGCAAGTCCATTCCCAGCAGGGATGGGATTGACGCAAGAGAGGCTGGGCAGAAAGTTGGAAGACATGGGTTTAGTTGTAGAGACACTGTTTATCCAACTCTCATTAAGCCTTTACCCTTTTAGTGTTCACTTCTAGCATGTATTTGTCCTCTTTATTTGGATCATAAGTGATTGAGGGCAAGGACCATTCAGCAGTAGTGCCAACTTTGAACACAACCACTACGGAATATATCAGTTCAATTAATAAATTGATAATCGTTAAAAAGAAACATCTGTTTCTTAATTTTGTTTTTGTCCTAGAGATCAAGCATTGCAAAAATCTGTATTATTACGTTCAGAGATATACTTAATTTTATTGCTTTTTTGTTTGTTTGGGTTCATGTTATCCTCAATGGAAAAGCCGAATAAACACTAACCTAGATCAAAACCACTGTAAGGCGGAAAGAACATGCAGCAGCACTATAGCCAGTTTTTGTGACTCAGAAGGAAAGATACCTTAAAGCATACTGAGAAAAATCTGTGAATTGTGATGATTTCTTGTGTTTTCCACCATTTTCAAAGTCAAATTCATTAATTATAGATTGCTTATGAAAAGTTTCTTAACCCATTTTGAGACTGGACTCTCTAGTCTCCATTCGCAAGCAAACGGTCCTATACACAGTTGATTAGAAACTTAGTTGAGTGACTTAATGTCCAGGGATGTAAAATCATAAAATCATAGAAGATCCTGAGTTGGAAGGGACCCACAAGGATTGTCGAGTCCAACTCCTGACTCCACACAGAGCAAACCAGAATTAAAACAATATGCAGATCCTAAGCAGCGTGAGTATTGCTGTATGCAAACAGGTGCATTCATGTAGTATATTGCAAAATCTCTGAATATCAGGTTTTGTTTTAGCTCTGATTTTTAAAAAAGTATTGATTAGAAAGTACTTCATGTTTTGTAGTGAAGAAAAACATCTATGTTCTGCCATATTTAATTAAATAAATGTTTCTAAACGTTTTCAAAGACAGACTATGGAAAAAGCTAAAACTGGGTCTAGTGAGGTGCTGTGAGCATGGGAGAAAGGAGCAGGATTAGACCTTATACCATCACCTTCGGTTACTGTTGATGTTAACTTTTAATGGGAAGAGAGATGCACGTACAGGAAAACAACATGAGTTAATTAGGAACGGATCTGAAATCTTAAAAATGCCATTTACAACCAGTGGTACCCCAGGCTATAAAGAGTTTGCAGCCAGCTAATCCTTTCAGCGTGGCCTAAATTCGTTGCTAAGCTGTCTGGCTGCTGTTTGCAAAGACATCATTGAAGGCATTGACCTCGGTAACGTAACCTTGGTGAAAGGAAACTTAAAACCGGTGCTGTGGCCACCTCAACTTCTTTTAAAGTTGTAAGAGGAGCCAAGTGCCTCATCCTTTTCTGTCCCAAGAGCAGTGTGTTGCTATTATCTTTAAAACAGGGGAGTTGCAGGTGTTTGGCTTGTGTTGATTTGAGAAATCAGGTTAAAGCTGTTCTACTTTCTGGATCCTTTGCAGCAGGACTGTCGGCAGGCATTGCCTGTGCTGTCACCACTGTCTCTTGTCACACTCCCTGAGTCAGCCCATCATGCTAATAAAGTGCAATAGTCTTCTACTTCGTGCCTGTGAAGCCCGTGAATGTTGCTGGAGTTTCACAGCAACACTGTCAAAACCCTTGGGGCTCTTCCAGTGGGATTTTCCCTTTGCTGCAAGCGGTGTGACCGCAGGAGGGGCTCAGGGCTCACACCTAGAATTGTAAATACAAATTAGTACACTATGTGACTGCGTTGTGATTGTATAATATCAAAATGCAAGTTATATAGCGTTTAGCTTTGAAAAGGAGAAAGCCTGGCAAGCAGAGGGAAAGGCTGCGTTAGTGTGAAAGCGCTTTCACTTTTCCTGCCTATTAATTTGAGTTCCTTTGGAGCATTGCTATTTAGAAAAGTGCCTTCTGCATTTCTGCCAAGCTGAAGTAGCTGCTGGGAAAAACTTAAGTAGGCCAAACTCTGCAAATATCTGGAGAGCTCAGCCAGGGTGGCTGATGGGCATCCAAAGGAGTGCAGGGACAGGTTTGGCCTCATGCAGATGGCACAACAGTATCGAACAAAATAAAATATTGCCATAAGGTTTTAATGCCAAAAGTCCGTTGCTGTGAGATAGCGCGTATGGAAGAATTTTTAAAACTGGCATAATTCATAGTTTTGATTCCATGTGCAGAACCTAGGATCTTCAGATCTGCTCTCTAGGGCTCGGGCCATGTCAGCCAGGACTATTTAAAATTACAGACCATGTCTGGCATGGCCCAGGACAGTGGTGTACTCACCATCTGGATTTCTGAAGTCAGAGCTCCTCAACTGTCCTTACAGAAATGCTCATTCTATTTCCAGTAGTCAATATTGGACAAACAATGTTTTGTTTTATATCCATTACAAAACGTAAAGAAGTTTTCTGTAAGTAATGGAAACATTCTGAAACTTGGGGGAATTCTTGATTTCTGCCTTAGTTGATGGGCATTTCTGTAAGATCTACAAACTGTCAGCTGTTTCTGGCTTCTCATCATGAAATGTTTTCAAACTTGATCATAATTGCATATAGATACTTTCGAAGCATCGATACTTTTTGTTTTCAAAAGAGAATAGGCTCCATCCCCTCTTTATATTGTGCTTATAAAAATTCATCAATAGTGAGCTGGTAAGAGTGTCACTAAGCCGTAAAACTTGCACTTTATTCTACAGAAATAAGACCTTTTTTTTTTTTTTAAACAAAGAAAAAAAAAGCAGTATTTCAAGTTTTGAAAAATAGTTTGTTTTTTGATGGCAATTGGAAGATACTGAACTTTCTGTGAAATGATTCGGCATCGACTGTTGCAGTGGATGGAGACTCACCCTTCAGCATACATGTAGGTTGGATCAGTTCATTTTACTGCGATTCAGTGCAAAGTATTCTTCAAGCTGTGTAGCAGAGTGAACTTGCTGTGCTTTTTGCGCACGGTGCTACGCGAGCTGTGTTGCTTCCACAGCTCTCCCTCAGCAGCATCAGAAGCTGCAGAGACCTGTTTTCGCAGCAGTTTCTGTTTGCTGAAGGACAGAAACAGCTCTTTCTTTGCTGCTTTGTAACCAAGTCGGCAATGACTGGGTAAAGGATGGTGAGCAATAGAGAGGGGAAAGTGTTTTGGCTTCTGTGAAGCCTGCAGGGAAAAAAAATAATCTGCATTGTGAAAAAGGGAGGTGCAGTCCTGTTCCTATCCCAGCGATTTACTCTGGGTTTAGCCAATTTGTTCTCCAAGCCATCAGTCCCCTTTCCAATACACGAGCAACATTACTACCTTCATACTAATTTAGTCCAAAGTAAGAGCTACAGATTTTACTCCTCATGGAGTATTCACGTGCAAGCAAGGATTGCTTTAAATAGCTCAATGCATCGCTGTTGTTCCAGTGATACACAGTCCAACTCCATATGAGCAATCAGGGGAGAGATTTTTGGCTGCCTGTGGGAGAGAGACATACTTACAGCATCTCCTTCTGAAATCAGCGCTGTGCCCTCCTGCACCAGGGGGGCCAGGGACCGCCTGGATTGGGGGGACGCCTAAAGGGGTTTACCAGCTACCCCAGCCTGTATTTTTAATTTTGTGGCCAACCAGGCAGTTTGCAAATTTTCCTTCTTTAAGCCTTTTTCCCCTGGTGCCCAGCACCACCCCGCAGCGCCTGACACGAAGACAAGCCGTCGGCTGGCACGTCCTACGTCCCGTCCCTCCGGGTCCCCGCCAGCGGTGGCCTACCCCGTGGACGTGACAATATGTAGGCTTCTGCAGGACGCTATTTTTACCGGGTGGCGAGGTGTTTGGCTCGCCTCCCCCCTGTGCGG